AACAAAAGTTTGTCTGCATAACACTGACCTAAGTGGTGTTCTGGCCGTGTCGGATTGTAGCGTTCTTGCAATGTGAGTTGCGCTCTAACAACATCGATGAGTAGCGCTCTGGTGACGCCGGTATCGGCGCTCTCGCAATGTCGGAGAGTAGCACTCTAGTCGCGTCGATGAGTGGCGCTCTGATGGCGATGTCTCAGTATATCCAGTAAACAAACTTAGCTATTTTTTTTCACCAAGTTTGGTCCCCATAAAGGACTAGTGTTGCGAGCAACGCTTTTTCGGCAATTAGGGTGTTGTGCAGGTATTTATTGTGGTGAAAACTATTTAAGCACTGGAGAGATTTATTCACATGGAATTGGAGATAGGGCTGATAGATTTATTTTAAATAAATTGTGAATCTGCGAAAATATCTTTTCAGCAGATGAATATACTTTTTAACCTTTCTCCCGAAAATTGACAGGCTCGAAAATATGCGAGTAACATTCAAATATCGTCGCTTGGATGGAAAATTGCCGGAAACGTCATTTTGACAATTTGTGGTTTTTGGATTTCGTCTTTAGTTTCCGAGTAATTGACTAAAATGTTTTCGGTTATTTGATACAAATTGCGTTAGTATTGCTATCGTACTAAACTAATCAAAATCATTCAAATAGAGTTATCTGTTCTTCTTTAGTTTCCGACATATTCAGCTTTATCATGAGTTTCATTTTCTAGAACCGGGTCAATTTTTACTTTTCGTTTGCGTGTATTCACTACAGGTCGATGAAAAAACTGTTGGCGAAATTTGGTTCGGGCGAAACTCACGATTAGGCTGATTAGTAAAAAGTATCGTTAATTTATAAAAATTGTTATCACTTTTTGGCGTATATCATTGAAACTGACTGCAAATTTTTTGACAAATATCGTATTCGACAAAAATTTATTAAACTCATAAATGGTTGACACTAAACTAAAAAAATAAAACAATTTAAGAATTTCATGAACTAGTACATAGCATTCTCCGACACTTTGGAGAAAATCTGTGGTCTAGTTCCTGAGAAATTGCATTCCAAACTTCAATTGTGAGTTACCGAAAGTAACTTGTGACAATCTTTTATCCAGGCGACGATATAATATTTACCTAAAATATTCATCTAAATAGATTATAATTTTCATTATTTTCGCAGTTGGAGTATATGCCAGACGAGTAACAGGTATACAAGTATACCTAAATTAGCGCTTGAGCTTTTATATTTATCTCTCTCTAACTTATTAATTCTATATACGTCAGCACCAATGCCCGACAAAGTTATGTCTGTATTTAATAATGGCCCTATGACAAAATATTCATGAAATGTATTCGTAGATTTTTATTTACTTTTATTTCATATATTAGTATTGAGATGAATGATTTTTACTAAATACCAGGAATAAATATTTAATAAAAAACTATTTCATTTAAGCTTAACCAACTTTTAGTTGCTCGGAGCTAATTTTGGAACTCTTCATGAAATATTTTCATACAGTAAATGCAACCCTGGGTGCATCATTAACGAGCTGAAAAACCAAACAAATAAAAAAATTCCATCTGAACCAATATTCCCAAAAATTATAAAGCAAAACAAAAGCCATTTTTCCAACTTATGCACTGTTATTTTTATTATTGCAATACAATTTCGCAGCTCTTCAAACATTTTCCACATTATGCTTTTAGAGCTAGTAATTTTCGACCCCATTTGCTCGTTTTTTTTTCAGCTCTGAATTTAGGCTAGGCTTCATGGGAACTTACTGTGGGTGCAAACAGACCACATTTTGTAAATATGTACATATGTATACACTTCAACGGAATTGTGATATTTAATTTTATTTTATAATGAAAAATGAATTTAATGTGCAATTTTTTAAGTTTACTAGATGTAAGACAACTTTTAATTTTCTTTATATATTGCATGCTTTAGTTTTAATTCTGTTTAAGTTAAGTTGTAAAGGTGAAAATAGGCCTCCTGGGCAACCGAGCACATTAAAAAAAATCGGTAACGCGCGTAAAAGCATACCTCACAAGTGGTGTGGAAAATGCAAGAACAAATATAAATGGAATAATTTTCGAAATTATGAAATGGTTATTGGTATTTCCCATCTCAAAGGGGATGGTTAATTTGAACGTTATTTAAGCTGCCTTTATGTAAGCGTTTTGGCTAGTCGATATCTTAAGTAAATTTTCCAGTCGACAGAAATCGACCCGTGAAAAGGCAACTTCAGGAATTTTTTAATTTTTTTTTTGCTCGAGTGTCTTTTGAAGATGTGCCAAATTATATTGTCGCCTTAAATACAAAACAACAATTTCTTTAAGCCATCTTGTGCAGCAATTTGTTGATCTTATCCTCACGGCTACCGAAATCACCAACCTCAACGTAGTGATTAGCCTTCTTGCGCCAGCCTCGGGTTGATGTGTTGAGCTTGAATAGCAACAGGAAGTTGGGGGCTTTCTTGAAGTGAAGTGAATCAACGCACTGAATTTCGTGCGCTTCGCGAAATTTGCGTTCGATCACAAAGCAGAGATTGGGACACGCTTGACCATTCCGTTTGTACATCAATTCACAAACTGATTTAAGATTTGGATAACCCCATATAGGGGTTCGGCATACGTAGCTATTAATGGTTGCCTTGGTCAATTTGATGAACACATCGTTTTAATGTGGCGAAGACAGAACTGTAAAACTACGCACTTTTTGTGCAACTTTGTTGATACCGCGGATGCGGATCATAAAAGCCAATTTGGATTTTTCAGGCCCGTCGAATTGGCCGCATTTCTTTGCCACACAGCGTTACTCCATCTCACGGCGTCCATCACGGAGTTTTCTTGTTTATATTTCTCAGCATGCACCAAGTTTTCACATTTAAGGAGTGCAATCACAGCAGAGCGCTTTAGTTTACGTTTGATCAGGGTAGCAATTGGCTGTCCTGCTCTTGCGGAACTGCAGCTTCGGCTCGGGGACAGGAGGCAGCTTCCTGGAAGGTTGTCTGCCCTTTGCTCGCGGTTTCTTACCGGCCCATGATGGCAGTCATCTTAACTTGTTACTTAGCACGTTGAAAAGGCGAAAAATAGTTCGCAAATGTTTGGAGCACATCGTAAATGAGCCACTCGATTTATAACATTTCTATAAACAATTTAATTAAATACTTTCTATACATAGATATGCTGCAACCATGCACTTACTTTCCCAAATTCCATCCTGTTTATCGGCATAATTTTCCAAATATGCCAGCTACTTCATTACTAATTACTAAATTTTCCAACTGCGCCTTCTTTGTTGGCTCGACATATCCTAAAAAGACAAATTTACATTAAACAATAGAAATCGCAAAAATTAGCAAATAAAATACTCGCTTTGTTTTGTTTTGTTGTCAAATTTCTGAGAAATATGAATTCACCACGATGCGATACAGAAAGAACAAGGACCAGGGATGTAAGTTTAAGTAAATCTATTATTCAGTGGCAAGGCGCAGAGCGTTCGGGGCAGCAATATTAATTTGTATCAAATATAACATTAAACGGTGGTTCTAATACATTTTTTGATATTATTAACCAGAGTACATACATTATATGGTATTTCTTTCAAAATTAATGTACTATATGAACTTTTTTTTCAAATATTTCTTAAGTTTCTTTCATGAGTGCTGAAAAGCAACCATGCGTGTAAGAAATTGTGTGCTACCTAAAATTTCACCTCTGGAAACTTTATCCCCATAAAGGACTTCACCACAGTTTTTTTACTGGATATACTGAGGGCGATGTAAACAAACGGCTAATGTCAAAGTCGCCCAACTTTTTTCCTAAATGCGATTATTACGGGCTACTAAGAAGAAAGCGTCGTGATCTTGTATTTTTGGTTTAT